CCTGACTACCTTGGAGTTATACCAAAGATGAACTGGAGTCATTAACTTCTAAAATGTAATCTTCACTGGGATGGGAAGCCCTTCAAGCATTAAGTAACATGCTGTTGGAAGAGTACAGCATTAAGAAAACAGGAAAATTAAAGAGTTGCAAAGAGATTGAAGAGCAAGTATTTAGTAGTTTTGATACATACTGTGAAACTTTGGCAATTCTAAAGAGGAATTTGATTATTTGTAAAAACTTTTCTATGGTACAAATCACAAGAGTATCTAAGTGCTTCACAATTAATGTAGCCTCACAGCCCTTGTGAGCTTGGAAAGTATTGTTAACCTCATTCTACAGATGTGAAATTGAGGCACAAAGAGAGAAAGCAACTTGCCCAACGTAATACAAGAAGTTTGTGGCAGAATTGGGACCAGAACCAAGATCTCTTGAGTTACAATTCAGCCTTAATGTAACCAAGAGATAGTTGCTTTTGAGGTTTTCTTTTATTTAAACTGGTAACTATTGGAAAACTGAAGTGTTTTTGTAGCTGTGTTGGTCCCAGGATGTTATAGAGACAAGGTGGGTGAGGTAATACCTTTTATAGGACCAGCTTCTGCTGGTGAGAGACACTTTCAGGCTTACACAGAGCTCTTCTTCAGGTCTGAGAAACGTATTCAGTGTCGCAACTAAATACAAGGGTTGCTGCTAAGCTTTGCTTCCTTTTTCTTCATGCTGTGGAGTTTCCATATGTTTAACTAATTAGGTTAAACTATCTGTTCCATTTTGTGTTTAGCTGTGGCACTCTGAGTACATTTCCCAGACCTGAAGAAGAGCTCTGTGTAAGCTTGAAAGCTTGTCTCTTTCACCAACAGGAGATGTTCCAATAAAAGATATTACCTCACTCACCTTGTCTCTCTGGAAAAAAAGAAGGCATTTAAAGATTTAATACGTTCTGTGATTTGAATTTTTATGCTGTGGTGATTCAAACTGCATCCTGAAAATTCTTTGGAGTTATAGTATGTGGAGCCTTTTCTATTTTTGTAAATTTCCTATAGAAAATTGAAAAAAATCTCTTATTATCCATGCTTTAATTTTGTTTCAGATAGTTAGCTTTGTACCCTCTCTGATTGGCAGGTTATAAATCTATACACTATTGTTAAGTTAAGTTTAAGTCTCTCTTGTTTCCCATTGTAGCCCAGAAGAAGAATCCTCTTCCTCATCCAGTGATGAAGATGAAGATGATAGGAAACAAACTGATGAACTATTAGGAAAAGTCGTGTGTGTAGACTATGTTAATGTGGATAAAAAGAAAGTTCTGTGGTTTCCAGCCTTGGTAGGTGTTTAATTTATATTTTTAGAGGCTTTTAATCTTTTCTAAGCACCAAATGAATAGTAATTGTCCTTTTTTCTTTGTCATGTAGGACTCACATGCAACTAGTGTACACAGTAGTATGTTTCTTAAAATTCAACAGTATCATAATTGTCCAGGGGAAATATGTATCAAAAAAGTTTGCTAATAAAAGCAAATGCTAATGTGGTTGTAATCTTCCAAGCAGTCAGACTTACTGATTTTCTTAATTTCACTTGAATAACTTGTGTTAGGGTTCACTGCTAAATAACCAATGTTAGCTTTTCTAGATTACTGTGATTTTTACTTCAGTACCAAGATTCATTAAAATGGATAATTTAAGAAATGCTCAGTAACTGAATAAGCACCTTGTTTTTTCTTCCATGATCTTTCTGGCTGAATACAAAGATAGTTTACTATCATGTTTTCAAGGAAATTTCCACTTAACTTCTTTGACTAAATATCTGATTTTAACTGATTTTTTTTTTTAACTGAAAACACCTAAAACTTCATTTGCATCTGGCTGGTATACTTAGTAAATGGTTTTCTCATACATAGTACAAGAATGGCTATGACTTTTTCACTGTGAGGTATTCTGCTCTTTTCTTTTTGGCTCTGGGAGCAGTCTTGCTGAAGACTCTTTATTTTTCATTTTAGCAAAGAGGCCTGTGCACTCCCTCTGTTGAAAAGTTGCTGTACTGCACCATCAGCCCAGTTAACTGTCCCTGGTGAGTGCAGTAGCTGTCATCCTCTGCTCTCACTCTGAAACTTGCTATTCCTCTCCTCCTGTGGCTTGCTGTGCAGTCCAGTGGCTTTCCGAGGGAGTGCAGCAGTGCCTGTGGAGGTGTGGGTGATGAGGCTCGGAGGGGAGAGTCGTCAAAGCTGGCAAAAGCTAGCCAAAAAAAGGCAGAATATCTAGCAGTGAGATGTTCGTGTTAGTGGATGGTAGCATTATGAAAAATTAAAAATAAGTAAGGAAATAAAACATTTTACTTAGTTGAAGGCTGTAGTTAAAACTATGGTGGGATATCCCCACACCTCCTGGTCAGTACCTCTTGAGACAATTAGTTCTATTAGTTTAAACCTTTTTGTGTCCTTTTGGTTGGACAGGCTTCCTGGACACACTCATAACTGATCTACAAGTTCCCTTGATTATACCTTTGGCAACCTCCAATAGGTATTGGGTTCATCTGAAAATCTACGGTAGTGTTACTCAAGATAGCTAGGAGCTAAGATCTTCAAGTATAGCTGGATGGTGACAATGAATCTTTCCAGGAACTTGGTGAAGGCAGGAGATGTTTCTTTTGGCTTTTTCTTGGAGATTAAAATAGTTTGTTTTTCTTGGAAAATATTAGGTAAACAAAATAATTATTCTCTGGGGTATTTGTCCTGAGGACTACAAATCCAGAAGTTTAGCAATATTTTTTAATCACCACATCTCTCTCTCTCTCTCTCTCTCTCACACAGAGACCAAAGAGGCAGTCATTCTTTAAAACTACAGCATACATCAAAGTTAGTTCAGTAGTGCAGCACAGTTCGAAAATAAAACTTCCCCACCACTGTGACCAAAACCCAGCAATTGTTAATCTCTCAGGTTGTTGCCTGAGTAGCCAATAACATTAGCCATAATAATAGCATAGTGTTGTCTCTGTTGCTTACCCAGACAATCTGGAACTGTGCAGAAAGTCTCAAAAATAAGCCTCTACTTGAATTGGCAAAATGAAAACTTCCATGCAAAAGCCTTGCTTGGGACAGGTTATTTTCAGAGCTTTTAGTGCTTGTCCTAGCCAGCACAGATTATTTTATACAAAACTCTATTCCACAGAGATCTACCCTATGCAAGCCACTGTCAGAGTAATACATATGGAGGGGAGGGTTTGTAAGTAGTCATAGTTCAGAAGCTCTATCCTACCCTCAAGTATGGAGTTTACATTTCCCCACATAGCACTGTTGTGCAAATTTCCCAAGGGTCAGAAAGTAGAGCATCACACTTACGAAATTTCATAGGACAACAACCTAGTTGTTATTCAACGTACTTAAGCTCTCTTTTAAAAAAAAAAAAAGTGTGTGTGTGTGTATAGCTTTTTCTCAAAAATGTAATCTTAGTCAGAAGTATTCTGCTTGGTTGTGGGTATAACTGCTTCAAGCTATAACTCACCTTGAGCAAACAAGATCATTCTCTTTCAGTAGATCATACTGTTTTAACCAAACCTAATATGACTAGAAGTAAGATCCCTTTTGTATTTATACAACTCTTTGCAGTATAGAGAACATAAATGTTGTAATACAAAGGAAAACTGAAGTCTGGTACATTGTCCAAACTGAGTGAATACCAAAGCAAATGAAGAGTATAAATAGTGAAAAGCAAATTAGATTTTAAGATTTGTGTTTCATAATGTAAGGTGTTAATGCAAACAATGAATCTTTTTTAATATAATTTTACAATTTGTTCTTACTGTCTCTTGAAAAAACAAGATTCGACACTTGTTCTGCTGCTCACCCTTCCACTCATTCTTCTCCAATTTCAACTCTTCTGTTTCATACATCATTTTCCATCTAATCATATGCCAGTACAGAGCATACTGTTGGTGCTCAACAAATGATTAATAAACACACTGCTGCCTTTTTGTTGCTATTATGCTGTGGTTTACTTATTCTCAAAATTTTACAGTTAAAACTTAAAAATGTGTAATCTGTACAAATTACAGAAACATACCCTGTCTCAAATTAACCAGAGGGTGTTTTTAAAATATAGTTTAAAAATAAAGTTAGTCCCCACTGTGGTTGTGAGGACTAATTCTTCCCAAGTACTATGAAGTTTGTGGTGTAAAGACGAGAGGAGAAAGAGAACTTATTTCAGTGCCTTAGCAGGAACCATCCTCAAGTTAACTTTGTAATCGGTTATTCTGCTCCATAAATATACACAGCACATTGTGTATAGTGTAAAGTTAGTGCCAAAAAGATAAGATTCCTGCCGCCAAGGACTTATTTTCTCAGTTCGTTCAGCCAAGGATTTATTGCCTCCTTAAATTTAATCTTCTAAATAACATTATTTTGTTGTAGAGAAACTTTGGCTTAATTTTATTATACATTATAGTTAATAATGACTATATATTGGTGTGAATAATAGAGACATATACTTAAAATGCTGAATAATACACATCCCAGCATACTTTTTTTTTACTCTGTTATACTGTGTTTGGTATCATAGTACATATTCTCTGGACCACAAAAAAGATGGAATATCTTTGATGCTTCTGAAATGCTATGCTTAGTCAAGATACTGCGCAAACCTTAATTCTCAAAATATTCCTTTGTGGTAGGGAGAGGTTCATGGACTTGTTTGAACCTACACAGTGAGTCAGTAAGAGAGCCAAGATTAGAAGTGAGGACTCTCTATGTTTAAATACACTAGACCAGGGGTAGTCAATAACTGGACCGCAGGCCAAATCTGGACCGCAGGCCAAATTTAGACCACAAGCCAAATCTGGACTGCCAGGCACTTTTGAATGGACCCCAAATCTTTTTATTTGCTTACTCTCATTGTTATTTTTTATTATTGTCTCTGACATCTGGACCTTGACCGTACGTTGACCAAGAAATTTGGACCTTGCCAAAAAATAACTGACTACCCCTGCATTAGACCACGTTGCCTTTAATTTAAAGACCTAATTTTGTTGCAGTGTATACTAGAGGCTGCTCTTGTATAGTCTTGATCTAACCTACCTGAATGTTGTTAGAGAGGGTGTTCTGTAGGGCTCCATCTTGTCATCCCTCTTATTTAATGAATACACGAGACCTTTGGAAAAGTTAGTGAGGTGGCATGGGTTGCATTGTTTTCAGTCTGCTGATTCCCTGCAGCTTTATAACACCATCTCCAGTGACCCACCTGGAGCTGTTGGTTTGCATTACTTATTGTCTGGAGATTAGAGCATAGAGGATGGCTAGTTGGCTGAGATTTGATCCAGAAAAGACTGAAGTGGTATAGGTTGAAGTAAGTCACCTGAGGCGATAGTGTGTGGGTGCTGTTTCTTCTCCTTTGAGGATGTGCACTGCCTTTAATTGACCAGGTGTACAATTTTGGGGTCTGGTTAGCTCCTGGCTGCTATTAGAAGATCCGGTAACACCTACAGCCATGACGGCCTTTTTCAATTTGCAGATGATTAGGAAATTGCATCTGTTTCTTGGGCCTAGCAACAGTCATCCATGCTTTTGTCGCCTTGAGATAAGACTACTGTAATGTAATAAGACTACTACATGGGGCTACAACTTAATCTATTCAGAAACTGCAGCTGGTGCAGAATTTGATGTCCTGCTTATTAAACAGTATTTCTCTTTGTGAGCACATGAAACCTATGCTCTACAAAATGCACCAGCTATCTGTTGGTTTCCAAATGGATTGTAGATGTTGATTTGACCTATAATGTCCTACATTGCATAAGATCTACCTATCTAAGAAATTGTTTCTATCCCAGTGAGGCCCTGGGACAAGTGCAGTCAGTGGAGTTGCCTGCACTGAAGCTCCATTACTATAAGAGGTGAGGGTGGCTGACAGGGCACTCTCTTTAGGTCCACAGATGTTTGGAATCCCTTTCTCCTCAGGTTCATAACATCCAGAGTCGAAAGCCTTCATGGCATTTGGCAATCATGGCATTCGGCAAGGCCCACCCCTTGCATATGAAAGTTGGGTAAGGCTGGTTGTGGTGCTGTAGGACTCGGGGGGGTTGATTAATTTCTATTATATTTATACTGTTGCTGGGTTTATTTTTAAACATTGGTTGTGGGTGCCAGTGCCTTTGCTTGGCACATTTTTTATAGTTTATTTTAAAAAAATTCAATCTGCGTAATAAAGATTCTTCTTCGAGTGCTTGTTCATGTCGATTCCAATCAGGTGTGCGTGTGCCATGTGCACGGTCATTGGAAACTTTTCCTTTAGCAGCTCCCATCAGGTCGGCTAGGGAGCCCCCTGGAGTGGCACCTTCTTTAACTCTTGGGACGCTACGTCCAAGTACAAAGAAATGCTCCCTGCAGAGTCAAGAGTGGAGTTCTCAGCTCTGGTCGAGGAGGGGAAGGCAGTGGCCAGGACATCCCTTCAGCCTCCCTTGATGCGGCTGACTCAGAGGCATGAACCATCTCCTCAGGGATGATCATGAGGAGAACCTCCTGGCTCCAGGCTTCAGGTCTTCCCCCAGAGGTCCAACAGACCCTGCAGGACCTTCCCTTTGAGGGTGCAGGGCAGTTTTCAGACCAGACAGACCCGAGGCGCCATAGCCTCAAAGATTCAAGGGCAACAATGAAATCTCTGGGGATGCATATGCCTGCTAATCAGAGAAAACCTTTCAAGCCTCAACCCCAGCAACAGCAGAGGCAATATCAACCCCACCCAAGGCAGGACCCTTACCGCCGTAGGGGCAGGAACAATAGGCATAGGCCTCCTAACCAGTCGTCATGCCAGGGCCAGGATCCGACTAAGCAGCAGTCAGGATCCAAACAAGGGTTTTGATGGGGCACCTGAGGACAGCGTGCCAGACTCCATACCGGATCCTTCCCCCTGCTTTCTGAACCTTCTATCCCACTTCTACCGTGCGTGGTCCCTTATAACATCGGACCGTTGGGTCCTTCACATGGTAGAGGGATATTTTCTCCAATTCTGCTTCTCCCATCCCTCCCACCCCCCTTCCCCGTCTCTCTTCAGGGACCTTTCTCATGATCAACTCCTTGTCCAGGAGGTGCATTGCTCCTCGCCTTAGGGGAAGTGGAGGAAGTTCCTCAGGAGCTAAGGGGCAAGGGGTTCTACTCCCATTACTTCCTAATCCCCAAAGCAAAGGGGGGGTCTCAGGCCCATCTTAGATCTGTGAGGACTCAACCAGTATATGGTAAAGTTGAAGTTCCACATGGTCTCCCTGAGCTCAATCATTCCCTCCCTGGATCGGGGGGACTGGTATGCCACTCTCGACATGAAAGATGCATACTTCCACATAGCCATTCATCTAGCCCACAGACATTTCCTGAGGTTTGTGGTCGATCACAAGCACTACCAGTTCACGGTGCTCCCATTCGGTTTATCGACGGCCCCCCAGGTGTTCACCAAGTGCATGTCGGTGGTCGCGACCTTTCTCCGCAAGAGGCAGGTACAAGTGTATCCCTACCTCAACGACTGGCTGCTACCGGGGTGTTCCAGGGAGCAGGTGGAATTCCAAGTCCAGTTAGTCAGAAGTACCTTCCAGAGACTGGGTCTCCTCCTCAACGTGGACACATCGACGTTGTCACCAACCCAAAGAATAGAATTCATTGGGACGGTACTAGACTTGGTTCAGGTGAGAGCGATACGGACGGGGTCCAGATTCCAAGCACTAACAGAAATCATTCAGACTCTCCAGCGATACCCCACCATGACTGCAAGGGTATGCCCGAGTCTCCTTGGACACGTGGCAGCATGCATCTCTGTGGTCAGACATGCCAGACTGAGACTCAGGCCACTCCAGCTTGGCTCACCTCAGGTTATCACCCAGGCCAACACAGTTTGGACTCGGTAGTAACAGTGCTGGGACGAGTCCTAGACACCCTATGCTGGTGGCTGGACCCTCACATGATATGCAAGGGAAACCCATTCAGCGCTCCTCAGCTGTCCGTGACCTTGATAACGGATGCATCAGATCTGGGTTGGGGGGCCCACCGAGATCTACAGATGCAGGGCAGGTGGTCGCAGTCCGAGATCCCGCTCCACATCAATATAAAGGAGCTCAGAGCGGTGAGACTAGCCTGCCAGACCTTCAAGGACAGATTTCAAGGTCAGTGCATGGTGGTGTTGACCGACAATACCACCGCCATGTTTTACATAAACAAACAGGGTGGAGCCTGCTCCTCCCCTCTCTGTCAGGAAGCTCTTCAGCTTTGGGATTTCTGTATAGCCCACTCTATTCACCTGGAGGTGTCCTATCTCCCAGGCCTGGAAAACGAGATTATAGACCATCTCAGTAGGTTGTTTCTCAACCACGAGTGGTCAGTCCATCTGGATGTCTTACATTCCATCTTCCAAAGGTGGGGCTTTCCCCAGGTAGACCTATTCACCACCAGGAGCAACAGGAAGTGCTGCTCCAACGTTCTGCTCCTTCCAGAAACACAGTCCAGGCTCCATCTTGGACATGTTCCTGCTACCTTGGGGGAACAACCTCACATATGCCTTCCCACTGGTCCCACTCATCCACAAGGTGCTGCTCAAGATCCGCAGAAACAGAGCAGACGTGATCATGCTGGCCCCAGCATGGCCACGACAACATTGGTACTCCATGCTTCTGAAGATGTCGGTGGACACCCCGATAGCACTGCCACTTTACCCAGATCTCATCACACAGGACCATGTTCACTGCTTTCACCCAGACCTCCAATCCCTTCATCTTATCACTTGGAAGCTTCACGGTTAAACCCAACAGAGCTCCAATGCTTGGATTCGGTGAAGGAGATGTTGCTTGCTAGCAGGAAACCTTCCACCAGGGCCACTTATCTAGCTAAGTGGAAAAGGTTCTCGTGCTGGTGTGAGCAGTGTCGCACATCTCCACTTCAGACATCTATACCACTCATCCTGGAATACCTACTACATCTAAAACAGCAAGGGTTGGCAGGATCATCTATCAGGGTACACCTTGCGGCCATCTCAGCGTTTCACCCTGGAGAGTCAGGGTGCTCTGTATTCACCAACTCCATGGTAGGCCGTTTCCTAAAGGGTTTGGAAAGGCTATATCCACGTTTTCAACCACCTGTACCCGCTTGGGATCTCAAGCTGGTCCTCTCCAGACTAATGGGAGTCCCGTTTGAACCACTGGCTACATGCTCCCTTCTGTATCTCTCGTGGAAGGTAGCGTTCCTAGTTGCCATCACTTCAGCCAGGAGGGTGTCTGAGTTAAAAGCACTAACCTCTGAACCCTCCTTCCCCCCCTCCCCCCCGGTCTTCCATAAGGACAATGGAAGGCCTCACCCAGCCTTCCAGTCCAAGGTGGCATCTCAATTTCACATTGGACAAGACATTTTTCTACCAGTCTTCTATCCCAAGCCGCATGTGAATGTGCAGGAGCAGAGTCTTCATTTGCTAGACGTCCGGAGAGTGCTAGCGTTCTACATTGAGTGCATGAAACCTTTCAGGAAATAGAACCAACTGTTCCTAGCGGTGGCAGACTGGATGAAAGGACTTCCGGTCTTCTCACAGCACATTTCATCATGGATCATGGACTGCATCCGTACTTGCTACGCCCTCGCCAAGGTTCCAGCTTCGCCTATTATAGCACACTCGACGAGGGCTCAAGCCTCATCCACTGCTTTCCTGGCCCAGGTGCCCATCCAGGAGATCTCCAGAGCGGCGACCTGATCATCCGTGCACATGTTTACTACCCACTATGCCATCACACAGCATGCCAGAGAGGATGCAGCTTTTGGCAGGGCAGTTCTCCAATCAGTGGTTCCTTAACTCCAACCCCACCTCCAGGGGAGAGCTTGGGAATCACCTGACTGGAATCGATGTGAACAAGCACTCGAAGAAGAAAAAATGGTTACTCACCTTCTTGTAACTGTTGTTCTTCGAGATGTGTTGTTCACGTCCATTCCAATACCCACCCTCCTTCCCCTCTGTCAGAGTAGACGGTAAGAAGGAACTGAAGGGGGGTCGGGTCGGCAGGGTCATATATTGAGTGCCATGAAGGCGCCACTCCAGGGGGCTCCCTAGCCGAACCAACAGGAGCTGCTAAGGGAAAAGTTTCCGACGACTGTGCATGCAGCGCGCGCGCACCTGATTGGAATGGATGTGAACAACACATCTTGAAGAACAACAGTTACCTGAAGGTGAGTAACCGTTTTTTCCTCACTAAGGGCCCCTAACACTTGTATAGAGGAGCAGATTTCCTCTCCTGAACATTTGCAAGATTGGCCCCTAAAGGTGAAATCCTGAGAGTTGCTCAGCACCCTCAACTCCCACTGAAGTTAATTGGAATTAAGGGTGGTAAGCACCTTGCTTGGTTAGGCTCTAAATACTTTCTAAAAGTGTTATAAAAACAATATATATTTTTTTAATGTTTACCTCTTTCTTATCTTTTTGTAGGTGGTTTGTCCAGATTGTAGTGATGACATTGCAGTGAAAAAGGACAATGTTCTAGTTCGTTCTTTCAAGGATGGTAAATTGTGAGTAGAAACATAGAAGCTACCAATTAAATATGTGCATCATCTAAAGTGTGTGAGGAAGTAAGGGGTGTAGCAAAGAAACTGCTTTTAGCCGATCAATTATTGCAGCAGCTTTACTCTAGGTTTAGAAAGATATGAAAATGAACCATGTTGATGACAGTTCTATACTTATTACCTACAGGAAATATAAATCCACCCTTATAATTATCATCCCAAACTATATATGTGGTATAGCAGGCAAGGACTGCACTCCTGTGGGAGTTTGTGGGACAACTTGAGATTCTTGCTGCTTTGTTTAGAAGAGATAGCCATGCCTCAGAGAAGATTTTATAGGTCCACAGATATTGGAAAGGAAGGGAAAGAAGAGAATTTCTCAGTAGCCTGTTTCTTCATTAAGTCAATAAGATTTGTTTACCAGTATCATAGGAGTCTAGGGCAGAATTACCATTTCATCTGATTAAGAAAGTGCTCTAATATTGATTAGCAGAAGAGAAGAGAATAAATAAAAAATAGAAAATGAGAGTGCTGGCTCATGAAGGAAATATGTGCTCTTAAATGCTTGTGAGGAAAGGTGGGGCTTTGGCAACAGCAATGGAATAATTTTTTTCTTTTATGACAGATTCCATTTTTTATTCAAAAACGGTGGGTCCCCTCTGAGCTAATTTATGCCACTTGATTAAGTGTGGCAGAACTCCTTTGCATTTTGCAGAAAGGATGTTGAAATATAGAACAGTTTCATTATAGTTTAGTTTTAGTTTCCTTCTTAACTTTAGAACAGTGGTGCACAAACTTTTCCAGTCACACCTCCCTTTACCATTTACGGAATCTGTCTGAAGCCCCACGTTCATTACTGCATGGCCAAGGCTAGTGCCGGTGTTAGGCATAAGCAGAGTAAGCAATTGCTTAGGGTCCCGAACAGCTCAAGGGGGGCCCCTATATGCTTTTTATTATTTTAAGGCTCCAGTCAGTTATGGAGGTCACGAATTCCATGATTTTATGTGACCTCTTCACCTCAGTCTGCATAGCAGGGCATCAGCTTTAGCCCCAGCTGGCGAGGCTTCAACTTCAGAAAATATATCTGCTTAAGGCCTACAATGGGTTAGCACTGCCTCCGGGCTGGGTGGCCCGCTGAGGTGTCAGTGGGTGGAGGTGGCGCTCCCTCCCCGCACCATCTGGGGGGCCCTGGCACAAGCCACCTGGCATTGCTGCTTGCTCCTCTTTCCCCCTGAACATTCCTCCACGCTCCACAGTTTGCGCACCACTGGTCTAGAATATGATTTCAGCAAATTGCTTGACAGTAAGTAATTCACAGACCTGTGCAGGTCAGTAGAGGAATCCACCTAGCACCATGGAACCCCAGTTCAGATTGGGATCTCTGGATATGACTACAATACCTATTACTAATATTTTCTGTTTGTATAATTCTGAAATCTTTTTCACACTGATAATATTTTTGTTAATTATATCAATAATGGTGTGAAGTTTTTGGTGACTTTTTAAATTAACATTATGCCTTTTCTGAAATCTCCCAAAATATTACTATTGATTATTGTGACACCTGCTATTAAGAGAATGCTTTCCTGAATGTGCTAATGAATGGATGCTCATGATTAAGGCTACGATTTAGTCATGGGTATTTTTAGTAAAAGTCTTGGACAGGTCACAGGCAGTAAACAAAAATGTATGTTCCGTGACCTGTCCATGACTTATATTATAAATACCCCTGACTAAACCTTGCGGGGATGGGGGGCGGACAGCGGCACCAGCTGCTGGGGACCACTGCCAGAGCAGCTGCTGCTCTGGCTGCCACGGGGACCGCTGCTCGGGCGGTCCCTAGAACCAGCTGCCCGAGGCCGCCCGAGCAGTGTCTGGTGCGGCTGGCTGCGGGGCCACTTGAGCGCCTGGCTGCAGAGCCGCTCCAGCAGTGGATGATGTGGCTGTCCCCGGGGCCACCTGAGCAGCTGACCCCGGAGCCATCTGCTTGGGCAGCCCTGGGGTCAGCCACACTGGCTGCTGCAGAAATCACGGAAGTCACAGATTCCTGTAGTCACGGAATCCATGACTTCTGCAACCTCCATGATAGACATGGAGCCCTACTCAAGCTTGGTCTACACTTACCCCCCAATTCGAACTAAGGTATGCAACTTCAGCTACGTGAATAACGTAGCTGAAGTTCGAAGTACCTTAGTTCGAACTTACCTCGGTCCACACGCGGCAGGCAGGCTCCCCCTTCGACTCCGCGGTACTCCTCTCGTCTAGCTGGAGTACCGCAGTCGACGGCGATCACTTCCTGGTTCGACTTATCGCGTCCAGACAAGACGCGATAAGTCGAACCCAGAAGTTCGATTTCCAGCCGCCGAACTAGCGGCTGGGTATAGACGTACCCTCATAGTCCACCCAAATTTTTAAGGCAGTTGGATTTTTTCAGCTCAATTTTTTTAATACTGTACAAAACTGTAATAGTGAAAAGGGTATATTTTAATTAACTGTCAGCAATATTTAACTTGCTGAAGAAGGTATTGTCTTATTGAAATAAACTTGCATGATAACTGGTGATTTATTGATGCCATTGTCCAAATACATTTCATATGCTCTTTCTACACATTTAATAGCTCTATGTATTGTTTGATATTATCCCTTTATAACAGGGACTGTCAAACTTTTTTTTTTCTGGGCCCCCCCCTTTGAAAATATTTCAAGCTGTGATGACCTGTCCGCCCACCCCCGTCCCCCATCCACCACTTTGTTACCGGACATAGCTTTCGTGACATCAGTGCACATCCCTACAGAGCTAAGTAACCGTACCATGCCACCCTTACTTCTGTGCTGCTGCTGGCAGCGTCTGTGCCTTCAGAGCTGAGCAGCCAGCTAGTAGCTGCAACTCTCCAGCTGCCCACCTCTGAAGACAGTGCCACCAGCAGCAGCGCAGAAGTAAGGGTGGCAATACCATACCATACCATTCCACCCTTGCTTCTGCACTGCTGCAGAGTGATGGCACTGTCTTCAGAGGTAGGCGCTCGGCCAGCAGCCGCTGCTGTCCGACCACCCAGCTCTGAAGGCAAGGAAAAAGGATGAGTCAGGAAAAATCACTGACGTTTGTTTGTATTTCAAAAATCCGCCCAGACAGAGATCGGAGGACCAAAAAAGAGGTCATGTCCAGGAAAATCTGACATATGGCAACTCTTGATCTCACGACCCCGCTACAATAGCCTTGCGGCCGCCTTTGGGTCAGGATCCCCAGTTTGAAAAATGCTGGCTTTTAAAAATATGTGATTTTAAATAAGTATACTTCAAATAATTGTTGCCTTGTCAACACTCTTTTAAATTCTCTAGTGCTTCTGTACCAAGAAAAGATGTTCGAGAAATTAGTGAAACTTCACCAAAGCCTGATGCTTTGTTAAAACAAGGTAAGAATTACCTTTAAATACAAAAAGAGCAATTTTTTTCTTGTTTAATTACAATTAGCTAGTGGTATATATCGCACCAAATATATAAGAAAGCATGTTTTTGCATTCTGTAAAATTACAGAAATATGGCTTCCCTGTGATGTTGTCTACAGACGTTTAGAAATGAAAAATTTCAATAAGTCATCGAGCACTATCTTTAAAAGCATTAAAACTATAATGCATTGATTATAAATGCTGGAACAACAAACAAAAGGAGTAGTAATGTAGTGGAAACCAACTTCATGGATTTTGCCTGAAATCCAGTCCCCTGTGTTGGGCCTTCATAAAGTTGTTTGCATCATAGTGCACACGTGATAGCCTTGAAAGGGTTGCCTCCACACCTTCTGCATGCTGGAGTGGTGGGCTCTTTGGCAAGCTACATGGTGTGCTCAACTAATCTTTGCAAAATAAATGCTTATATTATTGTTACCTCGATCCTCTTTATTCCCCATTCCTACCCTTCTATTTATCCACCAATTGTGTCTTGTCATTAATTTGAACCCTAAATTCTTTAGGACAGGGATGCCTCTTAATTATGTGTTTGTACATGGCCTAGCACAGTGGGTTGGTGCCTTTAGGCATCACTTCAGCATAAATAATAATAATTGCAAATAGCTTGGAGTGCCTGATGCAGAGACTAATGGGCATGCATGGCTGAGCACCTCTGCATAAGGATGCAGATAAGGAGTGGCTGTGGAACAACACTGCTAAAGTCCTATGATTTGGGGATGGATTCTCACCCTTCCCTTGCCTTCCCCTAAGCTTTTTGTTTTGTTTTGAGCAAATTGATCCTTCTTCTAATGCTAATAAATGCTGGTCTTCTTGCAGCCTTTGACCAAGCCCTTGAATTCCGTAAAAGCAGAACTGTTCCCAGTAACTGGAAGACTGAGTTGAAAGAGGAGAGCTCCAGCAGTGAAGCTGAAGAAGAGGAAGAAGATGAAAAAGAAAAGGAAGATAATAGCAGTGAAGAAGAGGCAAGTATAACATTGCAAACTGTGTCTATTCTCATCAGCTATATATTGGCACTCTGCTTAGAACTCATCAGCACAGATTTTCATGCTCCTTGTATCTTTAACACACATGTCTTTCTCAGATCAAATTCTCATTTGTAAAACCTCCCTGTGGAAACAAAATTAACAACTGTGAATGGACTCAGGAAGCTACCTCTTCACACACACAGTCAAAGGACTGAATCAATAGGAGCTAAAGATAGGTGCAGGGCCAGTGTAACCACTAGGCGAACTAGGCGGCTGCCTAGGGCGCCAAGATTTGGGGGTGCAAAAAAGTGGTGTCCGGCGTCACGGGAGTCAGCTGAGCGGGGCAGAGCGGGGAGCGAGGCATCCATAACAAACCCACCCCCGCAGTGAGGGACGCTGCGCAGGGCGGTCAGTGGGAGCCTGCGACAGAGCAAGGAGGAGACAGCGGCCGGGCGCGGCGACCAGCGCGGCTGAGGAACGGAGCCATTGGGGGAGGCAGGACACGGTCCTGAGCTCAGGTGAGCTTCGCCCTCCAACGCGCCACGCCTGGGGCCGGGCGCAGCCACCTCCTGGGACGAGGGAAAGTGAAACTAAACCCCGCAGCGCGACGGAGGGGAAAGGGCTGGCGCAGGTGCCAGTTCCAAATACTGACACACACACACACACACACACCCCCGGTGGCATGTGCCAGTGCACGGAGCCAGCCCTAATCCCCAGGGAGATTCTCACCTGCTCCCTGGGAGAGACCGGCTCTGCCCTCCTTGCCCCAGGGTCCCCCCCAGAGGTCGAAGTACTCAGAGCCTGGGAACGTTTAGAGACCCTGTTAGCTGGGGGCATTCTCAGCCTCCTCCTTGCTCATAGGTTCCCCCGGGCCAGAAGAGACCATTGTGATCATCTCCTCTGACCGCCTTGTATTAATTCTAATGAACAATGCCACATTATGCAGTATTCATTTTTGAAAGTTTATAATAAGCGATGCTCCGGGGGGAGGCGAGGAGGACGGGGGGCGCAAGGTGGAAGTTTCGCCTAGGGCGCAAAATATCCTTGCACCGGCCCTGGATAGGTGAAAGACCAAATCCAAAGATCGAGCCTAGGTTCAGATATAGCCCTCGCTGCACCTGAAGCAGCAATATGTAAGGGCCAAGAGCTATGTTGTTGGGATAGGGCAGGATGGTGCAAGGGTGAGATGGGAATGAGAGACGTGCTGCCAAGTGTATCTTACTGTTACTCGAAAAAAGAACAGAACATACCCTTGACTAATATACATTCCTGACTACAGCATGCCTGCAAGCTAATTGTAGAGACTGAATGTCTCCTAGCTGTGGTTAAAATATATATATTTATTGTAACTATATTTATTGCAACAAAAATGATTAGGGGAACGGCTTTCATACGAGGAGCGATTAATAAGACTGGGACTTTTCAGCTTGGAAAAGAGACAACTGGGGGGGATATGAAAGAAGTCTATAAAATTATGACTGGTGTGGAGAAAGTAAATAAGGAAGTGTTATTTACTCCTTCTCATAACACGAGACCTAGGGGTCACCAAATGATATTAATAGGCAGCAGGTTTAAAACAAACAAAAGGATGTATTTTTTCACACAACGGAAAGACAACCTGTGGAACTCCTTGCCAGAGGATGTTGTGGAGGCCAAGACTATAACAGGGTTCAAAAAAGAACTAGATGAATTCATGAGGATAGGTCCATCAATGGTTATTAGCCAACATGGGCAGGGATGGTGTCCGTAGCCTCTGTTTGCCAGAAGCTAGGAATGGGTGACGGGATGGATCACTTGATGATTACCTGTTCTGTTCATTCCCTCTGGGGCACCTCACACTGGCCACTTTCGGAAGACAGGATACTGGGCTAGATGGACCTTTGGTCTGACCCCAGTATGGCCATTCTTATGTTTTTACCTGACTTTCTGCTATCAACTGCCCCAAGCCTGGGTTCCACTAGTTTGTGGTGGTGAAACGTGAGGGATGAATTTGTCCTAATACTTTTTTAATCTTTCAAATAATTACAAAAAAATCTAAGTTGTTGTATCTCTCCTCTTTCCTCTCCTGTGATAGAATTAGTTCACTAGACGTTATCTCTCTGCCTACCCTGACAAAAAGAAGCGGAAGAACTTTCAGGCAAGGCGCCAGCCCACCCACTCCTCTTCCACCTCTGTCTTTTCTCCTTTGTTTTGGAAGTATGGAGTGCAGTCCTGTGCCTGTCTTCTAATTAACTGTTATTTTTCCCCCGGTCTCCAGTCCAGAAATAAAGAAGACAAGAGAAAAGATGAAAGTCAGAGGAAAGAACTCTGCTTTACAGCTGGCTATGAGGCTGTGTGTGTGGAGGGGGTCTGATTCCTTTATTTCCTCTGTACTTTCTCTTGGTGCTCAGATTCTGGCTCTGTCCAGAGCACCCCTCCTTTAGCCAGGGACTGGAAACTGTTTCTCTTGACTCAGTTATTCATCCCTGCAATGATGACTGCAATGCAGCAGCCTAATTCTCCCATCCCTGGGTGGAGCTGTAGACACGAGGTTGAGCTGTCTGGGTCCTAAACGACTACTGTACTCTGTGTCTCAACCCATCTTCCCTGGTTGGGGCTTTTCAGGAGGCTGCAGGTGTGTGAGGTTGGAATTCTGCCACCTCTCAGGCTCAGTTAGTCCTCATATGGTCCTTTCAGGGTTTGCCAACTGCAAGAATGTCTGTCTCTGTCTGTTCTTACCTACTCATGCTAGCAGAAAGTGTGATGCTCACTTCTCCTGGAAGGGCCACTTGGGAGGCCATGGGTGAGGAGAATCTGAGCTCTTAAGTGCTTCTGTTTTTAAGGGCTTGGCCTTTAGAGCCTTTGCCTTTGGGAGGTAGCTACAGCTCCTTTTGTGAGCCTTGCCTTCTTTGTGTAGCTGCTGTTCCTTCCCCAGGCAAGCTCTCTAAATGCCTTGGTGAACAAGCCTGGCTCTTGACACCTTCAAATCTAATGGGATTTGCTATGGTAGTTCTGAAATTGCTTCTCTAGTGTCTCCGGCATCTACTGGGCTGGAGGTTTACAAAGTAATGGCTAGAGCTTCACTTTCTTTTTTTGAGTGGCAGCAATATGATCCTGTCCTGTTTTTCTCCTGTCTCCTCTTTCCATTTCAGTTGTTATGCTCTGTGAGTTCCCTGCATGGGAGGCCTTTCTCCTCAGACAAAATATGTGAGAGAGCACTCTTGGAACTAGACAATCGTTCCCCTCCAGATTGCTCTAGCTCATCCCAGGCCATGAAGAATTTCATTGGTTCCCTTTTTACTACTCACATGGCCTCTCTAACTGTGCAGTTCAAGTCATGGGTAGGAACAGTTCTTTTATTTCCATCATCTTCATTTCACACTTAGATACCATGGTGATAGGTGCCATAGAAATCTGAGAGATTAGATTCTTTCCTGCTCTCTTTTTATTTTTATTTTTTTTAAGGCTGCTTTCTGTCCAGTGTCCCCCTCCAAATGGGGCTCTGCCTCCCAGTCTCTTCTCCTTTACTAGTATGATGGGACTAGAAGGACTAGATCTAGCTTCAGCCAAATATGGAGGTGTGGACCTGGGTCCACTTTGAGTTATAATAAAATATATACAGTATGAGGGTTAGCAGTGAGCTGCTTGCTTTCTCAAGTTAGAAACAAGCTACTTTGCTGACTCCTTTAACCTTCATAATGCTGACAGGTACACTGGTATTCCCAGAGTGAACACCGATGAGATTATCTAAAGTAGCAATAGGCTGAGATGGCAGAATATTGAAGGTTATAAGTCGGCATCTAACAATCTCCCAGGATGCCTTGGCATCAGACTACAGACAGTTTGGTTCTTCATGAGATTCTCAGAATAGCAGGGATCACCTTGCTAAAGTGTCTCACTTCAGTCCCCCTGCGAAATCCACTGGGTCTGCACACTCTGAGGATGTACAAACACTCTTCTGTAGATCTTGGCATATCAAACCTTAATTCTGTCCCTTTAGCACATTGTCCTAGAATCTAGCAGGGAATTTAATTACAACAAGGGATACCTACTTGCAGTTTTGGTACCTGGTGTAACAAGTATCTTCTCTGTGCTTTAGGAATAGTATCTTAGGGTATGTCTACACTTCAGTTAGACACCCACAGCTGGCCCGTGTGAACTGACTTGAGCTCATGGGGCTCAGACTAAGGAGCTGTTTAATTGTGGTGTAGATGTTCAGGCTGAGGGTTGGAGCCCGGGCTCTAAGACCCCATGAAGTGGGAAGATTCCAGAGCTCAGGCGGAAGCCCAAACTCAAATGTCTACACTGCAGTTTTAAACAGCCCTCTAGCCCAAGCCCCACAAGCCTGAGTCAGCTGGCAGTGTCAAATTGCAGTGTAAGATACTCATAGGGTCCACAAGGGATGGCAGCAGAACCCGCAGCACTCTGCTCAGTATCTACAGCACCTCTGGTTTTTGGCTCTCTTAGCACTTGAAGGAAATTAGATACGTGATACTTCTTGAAACGGTAGGTTTCCTGGGAACATCTGGTCAGTGCTTTCCTCCCTGACCTCTTATGGTTCTATGTGGTCACCCTCTCGTGACAAGCATTTTCTTGGTTGTGAGCCATTTGCCAAATCTAACTTTTTTCCTTCTCTTCTGACCCAGATTACTTCAGGGAAGGAAATCTCCTGAATTTCCACAATATCTGAGACTTTTGGTCTAGATAGAATACAGTCCTGCTTCTCATTTTTGCAAAATATCCCTGGCCGTTATTTTGTTCCTTCTTTTCACATGCAAGAGAAGGTGTTTATTTCAGTCAGACCCAGCACAAGCTCCCTTATTTCATCTTGATGTCAAGAAGGATCTCTAGCTATGTCAGTGATCACATTAGTAGTTTGGTATGGGAATTTCTTTTCCCTCACTTTATACTAAAAATTCTTAATCTTTAGGCTGCTGTCAGCAACTTGGGCTGACCCTTCACCCACACGATCTGCTAAATTACTATATTGCCCTCTTTTACGCAAGTTTTTGTTATTAATTAATGTTAAATGGAGAATATGCCAACACATTAGAAGTATGTTTTCCTCTTGACTTCTACTGTGTATCCAATTAGTGTATGATGAGGGGGAGGACACGTACAACAAGAGAACTTCTTACTGGTAATTCTGTTAATTGTAGGCTTTGCCAGTCCTACATTCATCCCTCCACCTGTTGAGGCTATTAAGTGAGGAGTTATCTTTTTTATTTATATCATATTCTTAGTAATTGTATTCAAATTTTGTAAGTTTCTCAGCTGAGGTCTGGTGCGTCTACACACGTCTTGATGAATAATACTTTTGTCTCCTTGCTTCTGGATTGGTGAAGTCATAATGCTTAGGGTAAGAAGTAGAATGGGAAAGATGAAGGTGATATAGCAACAAAGTAATTTTTCTTTATTTACAGAAATGATACATCAGTTATACTCACAGAAAGTCTGCTATGGGTCAGAATTAAAAGGAATACAAAGAATTGAAACTAACTCCTACTCTGCATGCCTCTTCGAAATATCTTAAACTTAGTGATTAAAATTCCTAGAAGTTATGATTACACTAGAAGTAAGATGATACTCATATGGGAGATATTAATTAATATCAGTTGAGGCACATGGTATTTCTGGGGATTTCCTAACCAGCTTGGGAGGAGCTGTTGGACTGAGCCACAGTGTCTTGCCATTGATCTCTGCTGATGGTTAATCTAGTGTAGAGGTTTATTACTGTCATAAGTTTAATAGCCACAAATATTTTTGATGTACCTATTCTAGATTTGTTTGTTTCAAATTAATTCAGTGTATACCATGTACTCTACTTCTCTGGCAATGTGCATGCAATGTCATTAACCTCAGCATGTTACTAGTGGCTTGTGGAACTGCTGAAGAAAAAAGTACAGGCACAATTTTATCTTCCGCTTCATCTTTGAAAGTGACTTAATCCATCCAGGCATTAAAGAATAACCACATCTAATTATAGGACAAATGAATCTCAAAATTGTGTGTAATCTTTTGAGGAGCAATACTGGTGTCTACCAGACTCTGTTTTCTGCCTAATTTAACACAATTGAGAGCTTGTGTTGATTTATAAGAATTCTTATGACATTTTGATGATAATCTATTGAAAACCCCTAAAGATCAAACCATATATTTTTTTACAGTTTTTATTAGCTGGAAATAGCCTTTCCTGTTTCCAAATCGCTTAACATTCAGAGACCATATGCCCTCTGTATAGCATGCCGTCAGTGTCATTAAATTCTACAGTAAATCAAACTTTTTAATGTAAACTTAATTTGCTACAGTAGTTTTCCAAATTAAAGTCTGGTAGTTAGAAGTGCTTAACAAGACAAGTGATAAATTTTATTTTCTTGTATTACTTATATTAGGAAGAAATAGAGCCTTTTCCAGAGGAAAGGGAGAATTTTCTACAACAGTTATACAAATTTATGGAAGACAGAGGTGGGTGTTTTATCTTCAATTATGTAATGTATATTGAAGCTTTGAGCTATGACCCACTATTGCTTTGCAATTCATTTTTGGAAACCAGTGTGGCCATATCCATCTCTTGCTGTGATCTGGGAGATTGTAGTCTGTCACTTGACCCTCTTTGTCTTCTCAGCATTCATGAGTGCTAAAATGCAGACATATCCCTGCTTTGAAAAATAAGTGGATATGCTCCATATACCCCTGTATATCATACACTATATCCCTGTGTTGTATATAGCTGTGCATTTAATGCCTAGTTTTGTTCTTAATTCTATTACTGCATACATTCCATTTCATAATTTTAATAAGATGCCTCAATAAATTTATTTTAGAACAACAAATATCATTTGGATGCTTCAATTCATTCTGGTTTTAGCTCGTGCCTTGTAATACCACCTGAATGTTTGTGGTGTTGATAAGGGAAACTGAAATGCCTTTAAAAACATATCCCTTTAATATGTCAAATCCTTAACAGATATATAGGGAGAGATTACAAATAAATATGCTTTCAGAAATCAAATAGTTTCTCTCTTAATTGTGTGGTAAGACTTGCGTTCAGAGGCCTCTGTTTCACCTACACACACACACATGAATTGTGATATCTTTAATGGATTGAGATAAAAGTGAGCTTTTAAATAAAGCTGTATAGTTTGATTATGGTTTTTATTATCTTATTGTTAAGGGCCTATCAAATTCACGGCCATGAAAAACACGTCACGGACTGTGAAATCTGGTCTCCCCCTATGAAATCTGGTCTTTTGTGTGCTTTTACTCTATACTATACATATTTCACGGTGGGGAGACCAGTGTTTCTCAAATTGGGGATCCTGACCCAAAAGGGAGTTGCAGGGGGGGTCACAAGGTTATTTTAGGGGGGTTATGGTATTGCCACCCTTACTTCTGCGCTGACTTCAGAGCTGGGTGACAAGAGAGCAGCAGCTACAGGCCGGAAGCCCACCTCTGAATGCAGAGCCGCCGCCAGCAGCAATGCAGAAGTAAGAGTAGCAGTACTGCAACCCCCCTACAATAACCTTGCAAACCCCCCCCCCCAACTCCTTTTTGGGTCAGGACCCCTACAATTACAATACCATAAAATTTCAGATTTAAATAGCTGAAATCATGAAATTTGTGATTTTTAAAATCCTATGACCGTGAAATTGACCAAAATGGGCCGTGAATTTGGTAGGGCCAGACTAATTGTATAAATAGAAAAATAAATAAAGACTGTACTATGAACATGATATGGTCAGAATCAAAGAGCTTGCAGTAATATATTTAGTAACGTGAAATAATTTAGGTATAAATTTCTGGTCTTGTGCTCAGTAAAAAGACACATTTCAAAATATTTTAATAATTGTATTCTTCCACAGGGACTCCTATTAATAAACGACCTGTACTTGGATACAGAAATTTGAATCTCTTTAAATTATTCAGACTTGTACACAAGCTTGGAGGATTTGATAATGTAAGTATTAAAGTTAAGATGGAAAGTATTTCAGATGCATAAAGTCTGAGGAAAAAAATATTAAAGATTAAATTTAAGTCATAGTAAATAAGACTCCTATACAAAAACTCTAGGAATCTGAAAAATTAATCCTGCAACATAATACACGCAGCAGCATTATTAAAAAAACAAACATTCAAACAAACAGATTACATAATTAATTTCTTTGTGATACATGCAGTAGATCTAACTATTGCTGTATAATAATGTAGTCAGTCAGAGTACTTTCTTTTTCTCTGCGGATTCAGTGAATACCTGTCTGAGAACCTTTGTTTTAGACACTGAGCAAATAGTAGAGACTTCTAAATCGCTGCACAAGTCCTCAAATGCAAGCAATCTGAGTTAAGGTTTCTATGGCATCCTTAACTCCTCCCCACTGTGGATCATATATAGAAGACTGTGCTGGCTGGAATTAGCTGAACTGATCTTGAAGCAGCAATTGGATCACTTACTTGGAATTCCTGGGGAAGTAGACTCTATTCCTACTTTTGATGTCTTCCTATAAAATTAACTTATAAATTGGTCATGTATATTCATACAGTAAAATGCAGTGTCATCTTTCTGATGCTAAGGGTCACATACTTAGAGAACAAGATGTGTTACAGTACCTTTTGAGGACTGTTGGAACTGAGCATACTAAACAGGTTACAAAACTTGAGCACATTAAGAGTGTAAAAGGCAGTGGAAGAGCTGATAGAGGCAGTTTCTGGGGAACCTGGGTATTGTACCATTCAGGACTTTAAAAATTGCCACATACGTTTGAACTGCCTTCTTTATTTTAAATTAAAACTCCAGCTTTGGTAAATAAGGTTACTATCAAAGTAAGTTTTTGTTATAACCCACTTGGCTGACTCCTGCAGTTTGAGACTGTGGCTTACTGAAATGCAAATTGACAGAAGTTCTAAACTGACGATAATAATTCGGTGCAGCAGAACAGTGATTTTTTTGTTGAATACATTCTTTTGTGGATCTGAAGAAATTTTTTAACAATTGTTAGCATTCATCTATTGTTGCAAAGATAATAGACTTAAATTAGTCTTATGGTTTGTACTAGATTAACGTGCACATTTGTATTTTGCTGTGTGTAACAGATTGAAAGTGGAGCAGTATGGAAGCAGGTGTATCAAGATCTTGGAATACCTGTATTGAACTCAGCTGCAGGATATAATGTCAAATGTGCTTACAAAAAGTAAGTGATACAACACATGTAAAATGGATGAAATATGAACAGTGATACCATTGTGGGGTGTTTATGTATAGATTCCAATGGAAACACCTCTTTTATGAAAAATAGTAACTGTCAATTCCATATTATTAATTATTTTGGAATTTTAAGAATCAGAAATGTAGGACTGGCAAGGACCTTGATAGGACATCTAGTCCAGTCCCCTGCACTGAGTCGGGATTACAGCCTTGTCTACACTACAAAGTTTTGTCGGCAAAAGTTATGCCACTTTAATTAAAGCATTTTAATTAAAACCACTGTTGCATGTCCACACTAGCTCCTTGTGTCGGCAGAGCACATGCACACTAACAGCTCTTGCATTGACACAGAGAGCAGTGCACTGTGGTGGCCATCCCACTGTGTAACTGGCTGTAGGGTGCTTTGGGAAGGGTTTGCAATGCCTCATGGGGCAGGTACAGCGTCACATGATGAGGTTTCTCAATCCCATCCTACTAGATTGCCAGTTGCTTTTCAACTGAAGTTTGGTGTGGGGGAAGGAGGGAAAGGAGAGTGGTGTGTCTGGGGTGGGGGAGACAGCAGGCTGACCAACCTATCCTGAGGCAGGGGGAGGGGGACATCCCCTCCACATCAGCCCCCAGCTCTGCTCGGCATAACAGTCTCTCCCAAAGCAGCCTGCTCTGCCTGCCTGCCTGCCTATGGTTCTGTGATTCCCTCTGAGTTCTCCCAAAGCCTCGTCAGCTGCCTGGAGCAGCATCCTGAGAAGCTCTGTTTGCTCTCTGTGCTGAGGATTGTCAAAGCAGCATGGCAGTCCTGCCAGAGGCTGTATTCCTAGTGCAGGGCAGAACAGGAGCATTCCACATTAATGGTTAGTTCCCAATCCCAGAGCAGAGCAGCAGACCCAGCTGTCAGATACTTCCCGGAGCTTTGAAAGGGAGGGGCGCATGCCTGCAGGACTGCAGAGATTAAAACAGAGAACAGAGTGGTCACAGCAGGCATTGTGAGATACTGGTGGAAGCCAGTTATGTCAACAAAACAAACAGCAGAATCTGCACTGACGCTTTGTCACTTGAACTTTGCCGCAAAAAGCTTTATGCCTCTCGTTGAAGTGGTTTTATTTTGTTGGCAAAACAGCAGAGTTTTGCCGCCAAAAGTAGCTTTGCAGTGTGTACACCCCCCTTGTTTTGTCTATAAAAGGCAGCTTTTGCTGACAAAACTTTGTAGTGTAGACAAGGCCTAAGTTGTTGTTCACCTCATGCTATACTTAGGATTGTATCTCTTCTGTAATGTATGTTGTTGTTCTCTGTTGTGTCAAACATAAGCTACTTGTCTTCACAACCTGTCCATTCCCTATCTGTCATCTCTCATTTAGCATCAAAAGGTCAACTCCTACCTCTTATTGACCCCATGATATCAGCCTCCTTTACCCACTTGTGAAATTTTTCAAACCAGAGCCTGTGTGCATTCTACCATTCTGCCCCTCACGCTTGAAAGAAGATTCCTGTAAACATCTGCAAAACTAATTCACTATTCTTCTCTCCTTAAAATTCTCCTCTGCCATTAAGCCTATAAAAAACTTGACAATAGCTGGGCCACTAGCGTATCAAGACCACTTCCTACCATGCTGACCAATACTGTCTCACTGTTTCCTTGTACTCCCTCTTTGGTCTGTTTGTATCTATCTGGTGTCTCTTGTTTTACACTTAGATTGTAAGCTCTTTGGGGCAGGGACTGTCCTTTTGTTCTGTTTGTACAATGCCTAGGACAATGGAGTCCTGGTCTAGCATTGGGGCTCCTAGGCACTATGATAATACAAATAATAAAAAATAATAATAGATATAAAAACTTCTCCAGTGCCAGAGGAACTTAAATCTGTGGTTTTGGATGAGGGTTAGTTTGCCACAATATCTTAAAATATGTATATATTTTGATGCATTTTTGCTCTTTTTTTAAAAAAAGTACAGTAAAAGCTTTGTTATCCGGCATGTTGGAGGAATGGGGGGTTAGTCAAAAATTCCAGTTAACTAAGAGTTATGCTTACCAATGGAGGGAGGGAGTTTGGTTGCGGGAGGCGGCTCAGGGCTGAGGGTTGGGGTGTGGGCTTTAGGAGGGAGTTTGAGTGCTGGAGGGGGCTCGGGGCAGGGTGTTGGGGTGTGGGAGGGTTTTTGAGGTGCTGGATCCGGGCGGCGCTCACCTTAGGTGGCTCCCCGCAAGCGGTGACATGTTCCAGCTGCTCCTAGGTGGAGGCGTGGCTAGGCAGCTCTTTGAGCTGCCTCTGCCCGCAGGCGCCAACCCCACAGCTCCCATTGGATATCCAATGGGAGCTGCAGAGCCAGTGCTCGGGGCGGGGATAGCGCATGGAGCCCCCGTGGCCATTCCTCTGCCTAGGAGCAGCCGGGACATGTCGCCGCTTGCAGGGAGCCACCCGAGGTGAGCGCCACCCGGATCCGGCACCCCAAAATGCCATTTTCTAGAGCTTTCTGGCTGGTAAAGTCCTGGATAACACAGCTTTTACTGTATTGGGAAAAAAACAAAAAATGGAAGTGTAAAACATAATAGGAAGGTAAATCGGAGGAGTGGAAAACCTTGCATTATTATACATTCTGTACTGCTGGTTGTCAAATGTTGGTCCACAAAGCCCTTGATGATGTCCACAGAATGAAGTAATTGGGAATCAGTAGTAGGGGATTGGGATGTTAGGAGGATGGGAGGTGGTTTGTGAAATGATCTCTCGCTCTGTTATGAAGTGGTCAGTAGAATTGAAGTTTTTGAGGATAGCTATATGGTATCATGAGAGAACTATCATTAATTTCTATGGTCAGGTGGCTTTCACATTTGTATTTTTTTGATACTGATGTTCCTAGATAAATGAGTAAAAGGTAAAGGATGGTGGCTTTAACAAGTTTTTGGTTAATTTTTAATATTTTTTGTAATGTCAAGACACTACTTTTGATAGGTATTAGCCTTATGTTAGTCCAGTGCTTAAAATATTGTGGATTTTCTTTAGCTGTTCTGGAGAACCTCTGTAGTGTAAAGATAAAGATACAGAATAAAATGGTAAAAAGGTACAAGAATGAGAAGATTATAAATAAATGTATAGAAGAAAAAGCCAAGCATTTGACTTGTTTGTAGTGATATTTATACATTACTGGGGTAAGGTTTCTGGAACAAGGAATCTCAGCACAGTGAAATAATCTTTGGTAAATATTTAGGTATGGTGTTACCATTAGTATTCTCCAAGAGCTTTAAGAAGTCAGTTCAAATTCCATAGTATTAAGCTAGTCATTGCTAATGATATGATTGGTTTGAATGATCTTCTTTCTGATGCAGATATAATAGCATTTGAGAAAGGAAGATAGAGGGGTAGAATCACAGAATATCTGGGTTGGAAGGGACCTCAGGAGGTCATCTAGTCCAACCCCCTGCTCAAAGCAGGACCAATCCCTGCAGAAAAATAAAAAATGCTTAATGCAGTATTGCAGTAAAAAGTCACTTTGTGTTACAGGATGACATATCCCAAATTCACTGAAACCAGGGAGTATTATCAGTTTTGAAGTTTGGAGTGTATTGGTTTCAAGGGAAACCACTATTACTTGTATTGCTTGTTTCTGTCAGTGTTTATAACGTGCTATCACATATGGCCTATGTCATAACTCATAATCAGAATCAAGTAGGTTTCTTTCTAGGAGGCTCAGAAAATGCCAATTGTAATTATAAGCTTAATTTTCAAATTGGTTTGACAGTTCATTCAAGATGAGAAGCACTTCTTGAGTTTCCATATTGCAGGGCTGAGCAAACTGGACACTGCTTTCCTTTGATTTTTCCTTTCCTGAATTGGTAGAATATTTTTATTCCTGTTTGTGTTCTTAAATGTTTTCTGTATTTTGGGTATTTCTGTTATACTGGTTGATTAAGAGGTATCGTTTGTATGTGTTTAAATATAGTAAGAAGTAGAAACAAAAAAAGAAAAATGGTCAAACTGATACCAGATTTTCACAAACAAGTTTTATTAGTCAGTTTTAATATAACCTATTTATTGTATCCTATGAAATACATGTATTTTATGTATCAAAGGTGTAAAGATCTCACTAGGTTAATATATATGTAAATTAATGTTAGCATCATGTCATGGAATTTAATTTTTCTTCCTTCAGATATCTATATGGTTTTGAAGAGTACTGCACATCGGCTAATATTGAATTTCAAATGGCATTGCCAGAGAAAATGACGAATAAGCCCTGCAAAGAGTGTGAAAAAGAAAAAGAATTGAAAATGCGTGAAGAACCTGAACAGGATGTAAAAGAAATAAAAGTTGTTAAAGAAGAGCATAAGGAGGAGGAAGAAGTGATCATACAACAGGAAGAAACAAAACCAGCTGAGAATGATAATGAATGTAAAGAAGATGATAAACCCACCTTTCTGGTAAAATACTTTGTTTATGTTAAGCCCAGTTGCTAAATTGAGGTAGTGTTTGTGAGGGAAGTAGGAGGTAGGGTATTAAGTAGGGCTGAAATCACCTTGGTGGAGTTAAAAAAATAAACACCTAAACAGTTTAGCACGTTGTCTTGATAATGCATTGTTCTTTCCTTATTATTAATACTGATCATATCACAGCTCTGAAAATAGGGTTTGGTGGCTGACAGCAGCTGCATAGCTAAAGGAGGATAAGTACAACATACTATGGGCCAGATCCATCTCTGGATGTATGCTGGCTGCTGCAGAGGGTCTTGGAAGCAAAACGTCCATGACCTCCTACAGAACAGCTACAACCTACAGTCAAATTCATACCAAAATGTGTGGCCTACTTTGGCCTGAAAGGGGCTGTATCCTCTTAGCAGCTGTAATAGTAGGATTTCTGTTTTGAACCTGGCTTTAGATTTAGGTCTCAGTCCTACAGTGCATTGCATCTGCATGGACACCTTCCATTCCCATCCCCACACCAAAATCAGTGAAGTTCCACAAGAATTCAGGGATCCACCCCAGGGCAATGCATTGCAGGACTAGGACCTATGCACTTCAGAGGGATCTGCAGGCACATGTTTAAGCCTTTAGAAAGTGCCATTGAGGTTGTTGGGATTCTATGTAGGCATAAAGATTTGTCTGAGGCCTTGGCTACACTTGCAAGTTACAGTGCTGTAAAGCCTCCCCCAGCGCTGTAACGCACTCCCCGTCCACACTGGCAGGGCACTTACAGCGCTGTATCTCCCTGGGTACACCGCTGCAGGTACTCCACATCTCCGAGAGGAATAACAACTGCAGCGGAGTGGCTACGACTCGCGGGTGTAAGTGTAAACGCTTGCAGCGCTGTACTAATCACCTTGTCAAGTGGCCAATCCTCTCCATTGTTGTGACCGGCTGCAGGAATGCGGAAGTGCCGGTTTCAAAGCTCATACCACAGAGAGAAGCAAACAGTTTGCAGCTTGCTTTAAGTGAGTGAATGAATGAGCAGGGGGCCGGGAGTTCGAAACTTGCAAAATAGAGAGCTGACATGCTCCAAAAAGCACTCTCTCTCCCCCCACACTCCCTGTCACAATCCACCCCACCCCCCCATTTTGAAAAGCACGTTGCAGCCACATGAATGCTGGGATAGCTGCCCATAATGCACCGCTCCCAACACAGCTGCAAATGTTACAAGTGTGGCCACACCACTGCGCTGGCAGCTGTCAGTGTGGACAGACTGCAGTGCTTTTCCCTACTCAGCTGTACGAAGACAGGTTTACCTCACAGCGTTGTACAGCTGCAAGTGTAGCCAAGGCCTCAGTGAAGTCATTTGTAAGTCAGGACTTCAAGCTACTCCCACCCACCCCCACAAAGACACCTGAAAAGGGTGGCAGGAGCACTACTTGACATCTGTTTTTAAGGCCCACTGCATTTAGGGTGAAATCTTTAAAAGGAAATTATCAAAGAGATGCTGTCCGTTTAAAAATTGCATTTAATAAAAACACTAGGACCTAAGATTATTAAAGATGACTAAATTTAAAATATTTTTATTTTTCATTTGAATGCTGTTAATTTTTTTAGTGCTGTTCAGTTTGGAGAATGAAAATTGATTAGTAGGTTTTACTTTTAGTTTAGTTTCTAGTCAGCTTCGCTTTTGGAGTCTCGTGAATTTGGCACAATTAAACAATTTTGAGCCGCACAGAAAAAAAATGTTAGTTTTTTGTTCAGAGGTTGTTTCCATTGGAATTGAACGAAATGTAAGGGAAACTAGAATGTCTTGAGTGTTTTTAAAGCTCGTTTTTTGAAAGAAATTTGGGTGCGGATTTGTTCTGGCAGCTTCACTTTAAATGTTTCTTCTATTTAAAACATTAATGGTAGATTCTGTAGCTCTGACTCAAGCAATCCTTCTGCAAAATTTAGTCATTTAATAACAAAGAATATACTGGGAATGGTAACAATCCTAAAACTTTGAATTATTTCTTCCAGTTGGTTAAGTGTGTTTTGTCTGCCTTTTTTCAAATACTTGTCATGTTGATTTCTATTGTAGGTTAACTGCATTTTTATATTTTCTTAGGAAAACAAACAAAACTTGCAAGAATCTATGTATACTCAGTCTGACCAGGAAAAGGAATTCAGTTCAACCAAAACAGAAGATGAAGCCAATCTTGGAGATAAAGAGGAAGAGAATATTAAAGAAATGGAAATTCTTAACACAAACATGGAGGCTGAAGAAAAAGAAAAATCAGGGTAAGAGGGTTTTTTTTTAAGTTAAGGAACCTGATGTCACTGATGTTTTAGTTAAAAATATGTTTGAACGTCAACATCAAACGGTATTGTGAGACCCTAATCCTGCAAAGACATAAGCATGTGCTTAACTTCATGTACCATGAATAATCCTATTGAAGTTAGTGGAGCTACTCACATTGCTAAAGCAAAACATTTGTATGAGTCTTTCCAGGTTCAGAGCCTAAGTATTTAAAACCCAGTGAGCAAGGGGAAACATACAGAGTATAAGTAATTTAAGTCTATTTGCTTAAAAAAATAAGGTGGCCATCCTAGTGGCCTAGTGTTTGCTCAGCTCTGCTACCTGTATGGGGTGGTTTTCTGGTTCCCATCTCTTGCTCTTGGGAGTGTTATGGAGACAGTGTTATAGGAAGGGAGTATCTTGCATCTCTCAATAGCAGTCTTTGGTTGAGTAAGAGATGATTTTGACAGGATCAGAAGATACTCCTTTCCAGTTCTTCACAAGAGAAGGCGAATGCAAGTGGATTAAAATGAAGTAATATCGATGCTGGGGCCCAGAGAGTCAGTGGATGAAACAGGGAAGCAGAACTTTCCTCCCTGCATGCATGTGTGTATGTATTCTCCACAAAACAATGGATAGAAAGGTTTTCATATTTAAACGCAAAAAGATTTGTTCCATGTATTACCTTCATACGTCTGCCCTGAGGTCAAAATGGAATGGTCAGTTCTTAATTAGACCTAGCATAGCTAACAACTTACATCCTTGACAAGAACTGCATATACATTGTCGTGTGTCTGAGCGCTATTCAAAAGCTGGGAAATCCTAAACCATTGTGTTTTGGACACACATCCTGCCCCTTAGAATCATAGAATATCAGGGTTGGAAGGGACCTCAGGAGGTCATCTAGTCCAACCCCCTGCTCAAAGCAGGACCAATCCCCAGACAGATTTTTGCCCCAGATCCCTAAATGGCCCCCTCAAGGATTGAACTCACAACCCTGGGTTTAGCAGGCCAATGCTCAAACCACTGAGCTATTCCTCCCCCTTTCTCATCTGAGGGTGAGAGCAGCCCAAAAGATGATAGAACTTGTGTGGTTGAGCTGCAGGTATGAAGAAGGTGTGCAGAAATGCTCTAGAACTGTGTTTTATGGAGATTCCATTCACTATACCATGGAAGGGTTTCCTGAGCCTGGAATATAGATGTGGCCACTGCACTGGATTTGGCCCATAGGAAATTGGTGAAACCATTGTGTAAATATTGCATCATTGACACATTTCACTATGTAGAAAGGAGATAGTAAATAATTGATTATATAAAAAATATATTAGGTAGAGTAAAATAATTTGCATAGTTTGATAAATTTTTAATTGGAAATCTACCCAGACAATAGAAAAAGTGTGGTGAAGAGAGTTATGCCTCTTACTTCAGAACTGAATTTGGCTCAGTGTCTTTAAAATGTCACCCGGCAAGGTCTTTTAAAAGTGTGGGACATCTTTCTAATACTGATGTTGACCAAATAACAATGTAAATGAAATAAAATTATAAAACTATTCTCAAATAACAATTTGTATCTGTTTAACTTGGGATCAGATTAGTTCCTCTACATGAGGAGAAGGCTTGCCTAGAGGATAGGAAGCTCCATGAGTTTCTCCTTACACAGTTTCTACCAGACTGCTCCATTGTGGGGAAGGCAGGATTTCAGTCCCAGCTTGCAGATTTTAGGATATCTGCTGGAGGCCAGGAGTGTCTTTCTAGAGGCCCTGTACTCCACCTACCAGTGTCTTATCACTCAGTCCTTTTGAAACAGGGTTTTCCTGCTGACCTCCCTCCTGTAATCCCTTCTAAATTGGGTTCCGCAACACAATGGGGCTCTGTGCAAAAGTTAATACAGAATCAGGTGGTATTAACTTTTGAGCTTTTCACTTCCATTTTATTTTGTGTAGAGGGGAGGCTAAGTGTGATATCTGCAGCACACTAATTCCTCTCCGGTGCTATTCCCTGGCTACTCTTGTATCCCGACCATGTTGAGTAGTCTACACAGATCTGAAGACAGGGAGACAAAGCAGCAGAGATAGCTGACATCTCCCCACCCCTTCTCTATGGGCAAGGATTGATGTATATGTACGGTCCTTTGTGTGCTGATTGAGAGGAAGACAATCTCTGGGCAATAGAAGATAATGAAAAATTGGTTTCTTAGTGTTCTTATTAGTGTCTTAGTGTTCTTATTGAGTATGTGGAACATCACTCTTATGTTGTCTGTTTCAAAGAGAACTTTCCAGGGTTTTGGAAACTCATCCTTCTGCCTAAATTAGAATTCCCTCATAGTTAATGTGTCCAAGAATAAAATGGCAAAAGGCTATCAGTCTGGCAACTTCAGGATATAAGTTTAACACTGCTAGTGTCAGGAAGAAATGTCCTCCAGCTACCTCAATGTAGTATTGCATAATTAGGTGCCTTCCTCTGTTGTGTCTATTGAATTATTCATTTTGTAAATATTGAAGGCCAGATGGACTATTTTTCTTCAATATGGCATTTCTTGACTTCCTAGAAATTGAATCATTTGACAGAAAAAAATACTTTAAACATACCTTATGTGGAGACATGCCACATATATAAAGTACTATTGAAACAATCTGGCCCAACATTCTTTTTTGTGAGGGGATTTCTCATGGATAGTCAATGAAACTAAAAGGCAACAAATTTAAAACTAGTAACAAGAAGTACTTTTCTACACACAGAACAATTAGCCCATGGAACTTACCCCGCAAGATTGAGGCCAAGAGCTTAACAGGATTTTTAAAAAGATTGGACATTTATATGGATAACAAGAATATCAACTTTTTATCATAAGGATTAAAAAAGCCAAACAAGATTTTTGAAACAGATATAAGACCTCATGCTTTAGGGCATAAGCCAAGCTCTGACTAATCAGAATTGGGAAGAAACTTTCTTTGTGGATCCAAAACTGCCCTCTAGAGGGGTTTCTTGCACCTTCCTCTGAAGTATCTGCTATTTTAGGATTAGTCTACACTACCACCCTACATTGGCACAGCCGCACCGATGCAGCGGTGCTACTGTAGTGCATCTGGTGAAGACACGCTATGCCAACAGGAGAGCTTCTCCCCCCGACATAGTACAGTGTGGACACTGCTTTAAGTTGATGTAACTTATGTCGCTCAGTGAGGTGGTTTTTTCACACCCCTGAGCGACATAACTTACATTGACTTAAGTGGTAGTGTAGTCAAGCGCAGAGACACAATATTGGATTAGAAGGACTGCTGGGCTGAGACAGTTTGGCAATTCCTGTGTTCCTGAGTATTGCCTTAGGGTTAGTTTACACTTCACTGTTCGTTAGTTTACATTTCATTGTTTATATTGATGTTCCTCTGGCCTGGAGGTAGCCAGATAAGATTCTCTTTGGAGCCCTTCAAAGTAGCTCTTGTTATAGTGCTGGAGGATCATAACTGAGAGATGCAAGATGCTCCATTCCTCCATGCTCCTCTTCCTGGCCTGACTATGCTGTCTCTGCAACCCCTGCCTGGCTTGGGGTGCCATCGGTTGGATCTCCCTTTGGACTGTTGCTTACTAGCATAGAACACTAAGAGTGGGAGTACTGGACTAGCCCACACCCAACATTCTCTGCTTGCTAGTACCTGCAGATGGAATTCTAACTTTCACTGGCTTGAAATTTCCTGGACTCTTTCTTTGAGAGAAAAAGAATCTTGCTTGACCAACATCTACTAGGTCCTCAATTAATTTTTGGTTGTTGATGGAACATATGGTTAAGTATTTCTGACCAAAATATTTTCTTTTCTAAACCTATAGTTTTGAACTCCTCTGATCCTGATACTTCCACTTTTTAGCACTTGACCACAAATTTTCCTAGGAATTGAGACTAGCAGATTGTGCCCATATGGAAAAAAATGCTATTTAGCAGACTTAAAAAAAGTCTTATAAACTAATAGCTCTTTTAAAAAGTTAAATAAATTACTTTAAAAACTAGAGGAAAACTCATGGTACATAAAATAGAGATCAAAATCTGATGGTAATTTTCTTCTCTGAGTGAACCTATGAATAATAAAAGTGGGCCTCACTAAGTGATTTAAGATGATCTTTCTCACTTAATAGTGAGGATAACATTGAAAACTTAGCCCTGTATATGAAAGTGAGCAGTGAAATACCAGACAGCAAGACTGTGAACGCATATCTTTGCATGCACAAAAACCTGCATTTGTGTACCTTACTACCAGCTATGCATGTGTATATGTAAGCTTTTGTTTAAGGAATGCAAATTTTGTAGGCATGTTAATGGAGACCATTAGATAGGGATTTTTTTTAAGACACTTAATGACAAGAATATGTAAGAAAGTAAGTCAAAAGCTGTGTTTCACATACAGGAGGTAACAGGTTAACAGATGTAGTGTGTTTCTTCTGCCCTTTGCAGTTTATTCTGTGGGTACTTGGAAAAGTAGCATAGTTTTTTATTTACTGTTGTTGTAGCTGTGTTGGTCCCAGGATATTAGAGAGACAGGGTGGGTGAAGGACCTGAAGAAGAGCGCTGTGTAAGTTCAAAAACTTGTGTCTCTCACCAACAGTAGTTGGTCCAGTAAAAGATACTACCTCACCCACCTTATCTCTAGTTTTTTATTTGTCAGAAGAGGTATATTTTGAAGGCTTTGTGATGAATGAATGTAAAATTGTAGGAGAGGGATTTAACATATCACAGGAAGGTGTGGGTTAGTGTGGCTGGCTGACAGTCATATTGGTTGGCTTTGAACCAAATAAAGCACTATACATTAAAGTTAACTCATACAGTAAAATTTAATTTTGTGTAAAGTAAATTATTTGAGGGGGGGAAATGCGTCGTCTTCCTTGCACAGTTGGTGTGAACACCAGTTTAAAATTTTCACTGTTAGTGTAAGCACAAAAAGATCAATTTATACCAAGTACATTTGTATAGCATCATATATAGGGACTCACCCATTTGGTCTGTGCATTGTAT